AGAAACAAGAAATGTGCCGATCTCTCCTTTTAACACAAACACCCAGCTGATCACCTTTCAAAGGCACAGCACAGCAAACAACAGAGTGGTCTGTGTTCTGCCTCACTTTTCCTCAGTAACTAAATGAAATGGCCACAGTAAAGCCCACAGCTTGGATTAAGGTCACAAGTTTCACCACGGTTTTAGTGGTGGTGAGGTTAGGAGATCCATCAGAAGTCACCTTTAGCAGTTTAGTCCATGGAATGTAAAGTCTACACACAAACAAATGAAAATAAATAGTTGGGCGGTATCTTTGATGTCGGTGCTCTCATCCAGCGTGATGGAAAATATGTTAGGTCAGTTTCCTTTTTTGACAATTCATCAGACAAGTTCGTGTCAATTACCTTAATTACCTGGTTTTCTGACCTTTGTTGTGGCACAGTATGCCTGCTGACTGCACTATAAAGTCTTTCAATAACTCGCCATCAGAGAAGAAGTTTGCTGTGTTTCGCGAGCTTCTTCGTTAGTACGTATCTAACTTTTGTTGATGATTCTTGCATGGTTGACTGCTTAAGTTAAACTATTCTGCCTAATAGTTTGGCTGAAACACAGTTTCCGTGCTTTTCTCTCTTTCACACGATGACGTGTTCATGCCATAATTAACGCTAAGTCAAAAATAACTCTTGATGTTGTTTTTTTTAAATACAAAAACACTCTCCTGGCATATCTAACATACTGCCTTTGAACCAACACTTGTGGTGAAATATTTAGATGTCCACTCTTGAGTAAAACAGTGACATTTACAGTCAACTTTATTCTTTTTTGAAGTATTCATGGCTGATCAAACATGTCTCTATATTTAATACTGTGTAACATTTGTCTAGACCTGCTCTTTTTGTAAAGTATCCATGTGTGCTCTATAAGCTCTCTACATTTAGACTAACTGTGTCTAGCTTCATGACTCCCCATGAGTTGCACGTTGTGGGGAAAATCTGTTTTCAAGTACTGTTTTTAAGGGGTGCTCATATGTTGCTGCTTTAGGAGGCAATGTAACGAAAGCAGGTGTGCTATAATGACTCCTGTTTTACACAAGATTATATTACACAGATGCAGAACTTGCACAAGCCAGATAATTGACATTTTTGAAACTGACATGCTCACACTTCCACTCATATAATTAATGCATTTTGTTGTTATTCATTTCCCTAAACACATATCTGTATGCTAATGCACAGTACAGAACAGGTTTTAACTTTTACGTTCACATCACAAAGTATCAGCATGTTGCATCTTGGCTATCACCCACGACCCCTTTAGATTTCCCGACATGCACAAATACTTTCAATACTTTACTTCAGGCATAATATGTATTGTGCAATATGACTTTAAAAAAATAACAACCCAGTAATCTACTCCACCACGATTTAATCTGTTAAGGCAACCTAACCTGAATCTTAATCAGGTAATGTTAATCTCATGGGCTGTCAGTGGTTGTTCATTTCTGTGCGTAAACAACAGCATTTAAAAGTCTATTTCAGTGAACTGACTAACATGAGCAGATAAATGCAGACAAGGAATGCAAATTGAGCGATGTAACTATACATCCAAAAAATGCATACACAGCCAAATAGGGTGTTTTGTCAACTGTAAAAACCACAGAGAGAGAAAGGGAAGTTCAATTCACTCACCCTTTTTGAAACTATTATTCTGTCTAACTGGTGGCAAAATTAAATGGTTATTGATGTATGGAACTGGCAATGCTAAACTTCAGTGGCAGTTTAGTATACCCATAAATTGTGCAGCAGATCACACATATCACAGTTCAGGTCAGATCACAGAATTTTGTCACAGATCTGATATAAGATCTGTTCATTGATCTGTGTGATAGATTTGTACGTGTTTAAAACAGTTTTCTGGAACTTGTTTAAAATACATTAGTGTTCAGTTCTGCAGTGATACAACTTGCAGCAGGACAGAGCTTTCCTTTTTTGCGTACAAATGTAGGTGTTGAGAATGTTTTCAACATAATCAAAGACATGTGATCATCCTGCCAGACAGAGCAGCATATCTCTGTGCTCTACTGATTTTAAATGTCGTCAATGGTCCACGACTACAAGCCTCACGGTCAATCAACCTGGGTCCCACTCTTCTACCCTTCGCAGTAAATTAAAGACACACTTGCACAAAGCAGCAGTGACCCTTCTCCTGAACAGAGCTTTAATAAAAGTACTGGCCATTGCTTAATTTGATTTACACCATCCCTGTCTGCTTCACACCACAGTTTATAGACAGGGAAGTCCTTCCATCACTGTTATTGTAGCAGAGTTTAAAGGGTCAGCTGCAGACACCACATCCTTTCAACTTTACACAGTAAATCCTTCTACACCATACCTTCATGCATTATGAACATGGCACTTTGCTCTTTATTTCAAATCACAGGAGAGGTTATAGTGGAGACCTCTGAGCAGGGGCTATATTGACTATAATTTATGTTTTAAAGCTTGTGATTCGTCTTTTCCATACATATCAGGCTCTTCTTATTCTAACTTCTCTTGGGGGTAACACTTGAGCTCAATGGTTTGTTCTCATATTTTAATTTCTTATTTTTCTCATTTAAAACACAAAATGACCAAAATTCAAATATTTGGTAGCTGGTTTGAAAATTCCATCCACTTTTCAGGGCATACAATTACTCAACCTAACTGACCTCAAGATTGCACGCTAACAAACAGGTTTAGTTTCAAAATAAACACAAGATACTTATTCCCTTCAGTCCCTTCCACTTGTCCTTATAATTCCCCCATAACCCTATTTATATGTTCCATAACATACCTTATGGCCCTTAGTTACCACCACATCCCAAACAGCATTTTTACCTTCAACAGACCCCAGGTAGTGACAATGCTGCTACTACGTACCTAACCACGTGGCCCCTTTTGGCTCCCCAACACTCAACTCGAAGACTGATGGGCAGCAGGAGCCAGGACATTACCAAAGTTGTCAAGTTGGAACCTCCCTGGTTGGTGTTCATTGGTGTTTTGTCCAATTAGTCCCACCACACATTGGGAAGAATGGATAGTTAGCTACAGCATCCCAGAGCAACCCCCCTCCATGCTAGCTCTCATAGCCCACCCCACCCACAAGCAAATCTTCAATATCATACCTACTCTGGCCATCACAGCCAAAACAGCATTTTCACCTTCAACAGATCTAGGCTCATAAAGATATTGACAACGCTGATACTACCTACCCTACCACATGGCCCCAATATTGGCCCCCAACACTCAACTGTGAAGACTGATGGGCAGCAGGAGCCAGGACATCAGGTTGTCAAGTGGGAAGCTCCCTTCATTGGTGTTTAGTCCAAAAAGTCCAACGACACCTTGAGATCAAATCTTTTGAGTAGGATTGTAACACCTGATCCAAACAGAATCTGAATTATCCAGATCCCAAGTGAGGGCTGGTTTCATTATATATAGGAACAAAACGTAATAAAAATGTTAAGTAGGGGAAACAAACCATTTTTTTTTTCTATTTATGTTGATACTGAAGACATTTTTTTCAATATTTTGCTTTAAATTGCTTAATCGCTATCATGACATTCTAGAAGGACTTTTGGTTTTTACGCAAAGGTTGAGGACCAAAGAGCAGAGCTCAAAAACAATCCATTTTATCAAAAGACAAAAAGGAAAAACAGAAGCTTACTTACTTCATAAGTCCAAAAATTCATCCAAAAAACAATGTCCAACGTAAAATCCAAACCAGGACAAAAATGCAAGAATAGTTCAAAGAAAAATCCACAGAAGGAGATCACAGAGCCAGGATCAAGGTTTGACTAAAAACTTACACTGAAGGGAAGGTACACAGACACGAAATACACTGGAGGAGTAATCAAACATACTAGACTAGAGGGAAACAACACAAGGGCAGAAGGTAATAAATGATACACTGTGGTAAGAACTACAAAATAAACTACAAAAATAAAAAATAAAACAGAAAATGCTAAAGACTAAATGCAAAAATAGAAGGCACACAGGCCCTACAGCTCAGTTCTCTTAAATGCTGTGTCCAATCACCCGTCGGTCAAACCAGAAATAGTTCCAAACCCCCCCATGTTAAGTGTCCAGAGCATAGAGCCATACACTTGGGAGTGTAAGAAAGTTAAGAGCTGCTTAGTGTAACTTCCTCCAGCTGCAGAGCTCACTTAGCTGTGTGGCCAGTGGTACTATCAGCTGGCTGCGTCCACTGTCTGCCTCTAAGGAGAAGGGTTGTGTTAGCAGCAGAGCTCCATTTGCCCTGCAGCAAGACTTTCATTCTGAGGACTTTTTTTTATTTAAAAAAAAAAAGGTTTTTGGGATTCAATGTTTGAAAGTTGTTGTAGAAAAAAATAAAGTCAATATGATAAGAATGAAATTCAAATCAAGAAAAAAGTAGTTAACCTGAGTATGAAATTAAGATAATGAGAATAAGGTGGAAAAGTCAAATAAAACAAGAAATTCAAGGGGTAAATCAAGATATCTAGTCATAAATTATGACGTCAAATATTAAGTCAGTTGGTCAGGATCAGTTCCCAGCAGACAATAAGAAACAAGCGAGGAAGGAAAGGTTGTTTTGTCTTTTTTTCCCTAAACTTTGAATTAATTCTGAACTTTTCTGAGAGAAACAAGAGAAAAGGTTACTTTTTTTTCATTTCTTCTGTCCCTAGTCCTCGGTAGACATCAACTGCTTTTCACCTTCTGGCATATTTAAATTTAACAAAAAATATATATTTATATTATCATATTTGTCACAAGAATTTAATATCTAGACTCATAAGCTTACCTAATGTTTTTGACATTAACTTTATTATATTTAATAGCTAAGAATTAAAAATAATAGTTTTTTATTAATAAAATGTTTTTGAATTTTTACATTAAATTTTCCTTTTTTTTTTAACTTGAATACCATTTTTTTAAATCACTGTCCATGATAGGAATGTAACTGTTCAGATAGATGCAGAGATAGGATGCTGGAGTGAAGAGAGAGAGCTTTGTTGAAACAGGGACTTCCCTGAGCCTCCATCATTTGCAGGGAGGGAAAAAAAACACGCACACACACATCCTCCTACATACACACGCTCACACTGTGCTGCGAGCTAGCAAGGGGCTTTAAACTGCTTCACTCTAAACTGAGAAAAAGGGACTGTAACGTGCCACAATGGAGGAAAACATGGATGAATCACAGAGCCAGAAAGGTAGGACGGAAGAGCAATTTGCTAATTTTTATCTTTCATCAGCTGTGCCATTGTGCCATTGTTCTGTTCGTCCATCCATCTCAGTATCATGGGATTCCTTTGTGTGTGTGTGTGTGTGTTGTGGGCAGAGAGAGACAGAAGACGTCCTGCAGAAAAAGAGAAAAGCTTAGATTTTTATCTTTATATCTCATTTTGAAAATTTGCCTACATTTGATTGTATTAGCTATTCTTCCCAGCAGAAATAAACATTGTCTGTGTTTTTTTTTAATCCCCCCCACCGATATGTCTGCTTTTGATAACACCCCAGATTATACAACCCTGTTTTTGTGGTGCGTTCGATAAATGGATGCTTAAATCAGCAGATTGTTTGTGTCGAGGATGAGAGGAGATGGCAGACATGGAGGGAAGGTGTTGTTTTGGGAGGCTGGATGGACAGATGGACAGACAGATGGATGGATGCATGCATGTATGGACGGATGGATGGATGGAGGAGGTGGGAGTGGCAGAGGGGGGAGGAAAGGGGGGTAGATGAGGGTGCTAGAAGGAGGGAGTGTGGGGCAAAAAGCTTTCAATAAAGCCTAAAAATTAGAGGGAGGAGGGATAAGTGGGGCAGTGATTGATGCCTCCATTGGGATTTTCTTTGTTAGCCTCCATTGTTGATGCTTCACGCTTGTCTGAACGCCTTTTCCTCTCTTCTCTCCCTGGCTCTCTGCATGTCTCCCTTTTTTTCAGCTGTCTGTGTCGCTCCCTGTCCTTTCCCTCCATTTTCTTTATGTCTCTATCACTGGTCTCCCTTTATGCATTCGTTCAACTCAGTATATCTCTTACTCCATTTTCAGGGTCTGCCTCTGCAGGTCTTTTGTTTTTCCCTGCCTTTTTCACCACTATCTCCATATACCTCAGTTTTGTCTCCCTCCCTCACTACTACCCCCCCCCCCTCCCTCCCTCTAATATCTCCTTTCCTTCGTCCATTTTTTCCACTTTATAATCTTACACCATTAAACATCAGTTTCCTCTGGCAATGTGTGGTTTTTTTTGCAATTAAAAAAAAGCTATCCTCCCATATTTGTGTTGTTATTGTGGGCTGTAAAAAAATGAAATGGGCGTGTCCATTTTCCTCGTCGCACCTTCAATTTGACAAACAGACGTAAGCCGCTGCTGTTTTCACAGATTCTGAAATGCACCGAACAAGGAGGTGATTTTACAGAAAAAAATTGAACTATTATTTGCTTTTATTGTTGTTTATTAACACTGTATCCATGGTAACACCCTTATGGAATTGTCATCTGTTGTGTGATAGGCGGATTCATGTGTTTTTTCTGTAAGGACTTTGTTTTAGCCAATCAGAGAGCCAAATAGTGAGGCATGATGTTTCAAGCAAACATGATTTTTCATTTCAGACACTTTTTTTTTTTGTTGCTGAGCACTCACCCCCACTCCTTCTGTTCATCCTTTCAACTAGTTCCCATCCCACATCGGTGTCGTTCTCTCCACCTTTATTTCTTTATTTTAAAATCCTTGTTTAGTTTAGCCGTCACTGGCCTATTTGCACTCTCTCCTGCTCCTTTTAGATGTAATAAATATATATATTCATGATGAGATGAAATACAGACATACTGGACCGTTAGAAAGCTGGTTGACATCTTGAACCACTTTCATTTTTAACAGTTATGCTAGCTGTGCTGTGGGAAATTCACACCTCTGATTGCACTGACATTTGAGAAAACTGTTTTTTTGCTTATTTTGGCTGAACAGATTACTAATGTGATTAATTATTAACAGATCAGCTGTGCAAAATGCAGAATTAGACTATAAGACAGTGTACACATTAAGTCTAATGCTCAAGCCTTGATCATAAAAAAATAATTGTTAATCCGTTCAACACTTACAATTAAAAAATGATCAAAGTCAGTAAGTTGAGTCAGTGACCTAAACTGTGTGTTACTGATATATTGTTGTTTTCTCTCATTAAATTCTCAATTAGGCATCTCCAGACTTTGGCTGCGTTTATTCTTCAAGTAATAAGACTTGAAAATGATCGCATGGCCAAGTTTTACTTAGAGACTTCAGGTTCACCAAATGTTTCTTCTGACATCAACAGCTAGCGTTAGCATTCAACTTCTTCTGCTTAACCTTTCTGTTTGATGGTGTTAAATTATTGAATAGGAAAGGCATAAATAACACAATTCCTGAATATTAATGTCAGCTAGGTTTATTGCTGTGTTAGCGAACATATGCTGATGTTGTTCACTGTAATAGTGCCCAAAGATCCTCCAAACTTTCACAAGCTATGGTGAATTTCTTGTCCTGTTAGACATTCAGTGAACTATTTGTTGCCGTTTGTTTCACTCCTGGATGGGATTAACATTGAAAGGGAAGGTGCTGCATAATATATGAATAATGTGAGTCTGTTCTGGATTTCCAGTTTTCATTTTAACCTGGTGACATTTCCAGATGTGATCAATGACAGGCAGTCAACATGACAAATGGAAAAAAAAGGAAAACTCAAAGCCTTTTCCTGAGTCAGTTACACCGACATGAAACATGTTTTGTTGTTGTATTCATTCAATGTGATTTACCCTTCCTAAACACATCATTACCTCCAATTTCCATCAAGCAGAAACAGCCATTCATCTAATAAGAAGGCCCTTCAGGATCATCATGTTTCCTTCAGTATCAAAGCACTGTGATAGCTTTCTGTACATTCATAGGGACACTGCAAACGGGAGTTGCTAATTGCTGATTCATAATATCACTCGAGATAATTTGGCTATATATGTATCTCCTGTACAGTAGGCCTTAAAAACAGTATCTTTAGCTGTGTTTCCAAAGAGGCCTGTTATTGTTGATAACATGTTTGAATTTATTGGATTAGTAAAACATTTGATTTCCTGCATTTAAACACAAGATATGATGATTAGATTTGACTGGATTCAGAAATGAGAGATCCACTTAAAAACACGATGACAAAGCCCTGGCTTAGATTTGACTTACAGGTGGAAAGGTAAGGATAATTACGTCCGGTGTATGGATGGAATCTTTACTCTCTGGATTAATATAACTCGTTGTTAAATTGGGATGTTAAATTATCAAATCTTTCCCATTCTCTCATCAATGGGAACTAATCATCAACGTGTATAAAAAGATCTTATTATGTTAATATTCTGTTGTTTAATGTTGAATGTTGAATGTTGAAAGTATAATGTAAATGGAAGAGGAAGTGTTACCTGGAGAGCTCTGGGAGATTTTGTGGTTGCTCCCCAAACCCATATGATCACATCGGCCATTTTGCTCCTTCCCTTTTACCTGACCCACAGGAGCATTTCCAAAACTGGTACCCCAAGGATGACAGCAACGTGTCCTGACACCTACAAGTTCTTACCAGTATACCACATGGTTAACGTTGTAAATCATCTGTACTTGGTTGGGTTTAGAATCCAAAACTTGTTGGTAAGCCTTTAAAGTCTGAGTTAAACAAGTCATCTTAAGGTTAGACCTTCATCTCATCACAGTGCTCTGTTGGATCATAGTTAGTACTTTCATGCTAGCAGGAATCAGAAGATGTTATTTGTCAGGAAGTGGCTGCTAAAAATTTCATTCTGACCCAGTTTCTTCTTCTGAAATAGATTTGTCTTCAACAGTAATGCCCAAACTGTGGAACATGGATCACTGGTGGAACAACCAAATTATTGTCAATATATAAAATAATAAAACACATATTGGAATGTTGTATTAAATAGATTTTTAATCCTCAAAATATTTTGGAAAAAGAGTTTGTTTGTCCTCATTAAAGTATGGCGTTAAAGATATGGCATCCCCCCAGTTATGTTGGGTAAATAATGTTCTGAAATGTTTGGAAAATCACTAATCTACAACATTATCATCCTGTAGTATGCTGCGATTAAAGAGTAACATTTTAAAGCCAAAACAGACAGAGCCTTATCAAACAAGATTACACTTCCTGTGTCCAGCTGTGATGGAGAATTCACAGCCAGAAAGAAAAAAAACCTTCACTAGATGTAAACAATTTGTTGCTGTTATAACTCTGATAAGAACATATGAGAAGATAAGTCTATACAACTTCATCAACTCTGAACAAGAAAGGTGCCTTGGCTTCAGAGTCAAACACAAAAGAATCAGAGAATTAGATCATGGAATATATTATAGGCCGATTTTTTTTCCAATTTGATGGAAATAAGGTCTTCAACCTCTGTTTGAAATGTCAAGAAAGAAAGAGCCTTAAAATTAATTAAACGGGTGGTCTTAATACATGCTACATGCAAGGAAGTGCATAACTTAGGTTTAACTTAAATAAGGAACATCTTAGAGATTTGAGAAAGAGTAGAAAAAAATTGTAAAAAGGGTGATTATTTTCGGACTTAACAATATTCTATTATGAGAAACCTTTTTGTGGTGTGTGTTCTGCTGTTGTTTGATCTTCTAGGTTTTCGATTGTCAGGTTGGAGTTTGGATTGCTTTTTGGATACTCCCTTCTTTTCCAAACAACACTCACTCACATCACACCTCATGCTAGTTATAGTTACTCTCAAATATAATCTGGTTAAACATGGAGTCATTAAACATATCATTGTTTTTCCTTTTAGCAAAGACTGGATTTGTGTTTGCCATTTCAAAGAGGAAATGTTAAGTTACAAAGAACTGGCCTGAGATTGATTCATTTAAAATGACGCTGAAATTAAGAGACATTACGGTATCTCATGAGAAAGCGAGAATTGTTTTTTGGTATCATGTTGGTTGTTTATCTTTTGCATACGTTTATGTGGTAATCCCATTTTTCCCATTCACTGTGTATACTTTGTATACTCTAAACTTGGGCTGTCAGCATTAATAAAGCAATTATGGCTCATAATTAACGCATTTATTTTTAAATCTGATTAATCATGTGCCATTATGTCCCTTTAAGCACACCATAGCTTAGCAACTAACCTCCGGTAGATGCCCTGTAGCCACACTAATGGAAAAGAATGGCACCCCAGAAC